ATACTGAGTGACCAATATTATTGGTTCCAATAGATTGGGTGACCAATATTATTGGATCCGAATATTATTGGATACCCAATAGTATTGTACAATATCTCCAATAACGATTGGTATTGGTACATGCCTACACATACAGCAGATTCCTCAAGTTGAAGATAAAACTCTGTTGTATATTGTAAAAGTTATTCCTAACTTTTTTTATGTTTTCTTCTATCTTCCTGTTACGCGCCCTGTACATGCATAATGAAAGGTCAAACGGGTGTTTTACCATCAGAAAATGACAATTAATCTGAGAAATAATAACAATTCTCCTTTTTCAGAAAAAGTTTTCCGGCGCCCAAATTTTATTCTGATGATATCATGATATATATTCTAAGAATTCATGTAGATCAGATGCTCGTTGTTCGAGAAACGTATGAAAGTGTATTACGACTTCATCAAACACTATGAAATTACAGATGTTTGGCTTTTTCGTCTCTAATCATCTGTACTGTATGATAAATAGAAGTATTATTTCTTTCTCAGATGTACCTTATGAGACTCAATAAACAACGAAGGCTTTGATTCACTTGAATCTGTGGCCCATACACTATAGCAACAGTAGAGGCCATGATAAAAGCTCAAAAAATGAAATTTATTTTACCGTTGTTTATAGGCTTAGTTTATCTTCGCGGTGTAGAGATCACCCATATAGCAGCCTTACTGAAGAGTATCGTTGTTAGTTTAAAAATGGTGAAAATACTGGCAAAAAGCGATTGATAAAACTTTATAAGTCATTTACTTAGAAACTGAAATCCTACAGTCTGAGATTTATGATTTCAACGCAAAAAACGGAAACACAATTAGTCCTTTCTACTTACGATCCGAAATATCCTCCAAGGTCGGCTATTAACATCGGAAATGTATATGCTGGTTGTTGTGTGTTGACGCTAACTAAATAATTATTTCTTGCAGTTATGACCATTTCAACGTAATTCATTCTAAAGTGTTCAAGTGTGTTTGAATAAAAATCATTTGGTAATGTGATGTTAGTCTTGGCAGCTAGTTTTTCAACTTCTTTAACTAATTGATCAATATGCGTATGTGCTGGTGCTTGTAATGACGAAACGAAGAGGTTGTATTTACTTGATGAGCACTTTTTCAAACAATGTGGACATGTTTGTTGATAATTAGTTGAACGAAATATTTCCATTTGTTCTTTTACGATATTATTAATGGAAGAATCATTTATGTTGCAGTAAGAAATTGATTTAAGTTCACCATTAATTAATAATTTTTGTATTGGAAAATGTAAAAGTGGAATACATCCGCATGCTTGGTAAATGAATTTCAACTCACATAGACGGACACATAAATATTGATCGTAAGCATAATCATTTTCACCGAAACGTTTTGACATTAAATAAGCTTGATCGCTCAACATTTCATTTGTACATCGTTCATATGAACCTCCAAGACTCGTATAATTCTCTTTCTTAAAAATTATCATGTAAAATTGTCCTGGTTGTACTAACTGGAACTCACCGGATGTGGACACTTCGTCATGATGATGAGTACTCACAAGAATACCAGGATAATTTCGATTAGATGGAAATGTCAAATGATCATGCAAATAAAAACGCAGCGATAGTCCAAGATCGACTGTGCCTTCGCGAACAGAACGAATTGAACTCTTATTATTCAACCTATAATTATTAATATGCTCTGAGAATTATAGACTTTTATTCAACTGAATAAAATATAACCCGTATCAGTAGTACACAAATCTCAAACAATAATTTATGATCTACCAAACTGTGTAAGTGGTTCTTAGATTCAATGATCACAATCTCGACTTTTTTTCTAATATATTTATCTCTATAACGTTTTACTCTATAGGATGACGAAGTATGCCGAATAAATAGTTCTAGGCTGATGTAAATAATCTTTCGAATTTTTATCGATAGAAATTGTTGTTCTGAATTACATTTTCTAAATTATCAAATTATTTCATGAAAAATAACTTAATACACCGCAAAGTGTATTTGTTAAATTGTCTGCGTGCCGCCCGAATGACGTGAATAGTCCCAAGCGTTTCTCCTCTCATTGTCGCTTTTTTATGCTTCGTTTTTTTTAACTATTTTTAATAATTTTTTACGATGGAACGTATTAGTGCCGAAGAATATCTAGCAATTTGTAAATAATAGAGTGATGGTGGAACTACAACGTGACCTTAGGAAAGTAATACCTAAACCAGTTACATTAGAAAGTTCAACAGATTCGATTGATCTCAATCAGAGACGTAAACAGCTATTTAGCAAGCAATCGGTGAGACAACTCAGCTGACTGAAACTTTAACTACAAGGGAAACAGCGCAACAAACTAGGTCTCAAAAAGAAGTAAAAGTAATCGGATCGTCAAATTCGGAGAGTTACGATGCAGAAGAAGTTCAAGCAAAAAAAAGAGCAGATCAACTGTCGAACAACAGAAACTGCAAAAAAGACAAAAGAGTATGACTACTCGCATACAATAACAATAAAATAACATAGTGTTAGCTAAAGCGGTAAACCATGTCATGTCTTTAAAATAACCATCTGTGAAAATTATGGTATAATACATCACAGGCTCCTAAAATTGATGCAATGCTGGCAGATCTAGCAAGTGAATTTATGTGTTCCATCATATTAAAACACAGATAGATGAAGCTACCAGAGGTGGACAAGACCGACGACCCAAGTCCAAGCCCAGTTCGAGTCCACGCGTTTCATAGCAGTTTCTGCACTGTACAGTGCGTTCTAATCATATATGACAGGTAAAGAAATTTTATCCATATATTGACACATGTTTGACAAAAAACATTACTAAATTACATAAGTTGCCTAATTCGAATTCGAATATAATTCACGAAACATGAGTCTAATCATAGTTTGAAAATAAGCCGCCCGATTTCGAATCCGAGTTCAAATAGACACTATAAAAGTTTAGAAAAAAGGACATTTTTCACCATAGTTCGAATTCGAATTCAGACAGACAGTAGGCTAGTTTACACAAAGCGTCGCGATGTGGGATAAGGGAGGGCGCCTTCGGTGAGAGTGAGCTACTAACAAAGGTAAGAGTTATGTTAATTCGAATTAATGAAAATTTTTTTGTTTTTTAGGTTGCTGTCTTACTTTTACAGTAAAGTGTCTATCCTAATTTGAATTCGAACTATGATGAAATATTTGGTTGTGTGAAACTTTCACGGTAAACTGTTCTTAATATCATATTTATATTCGAACTCAAATTAGGCAGCTACTCCTAAATTAGGTATTATATGATACTCATGCCGTTGTTCAACATAGCAAGTTTTAACTCCTTGAACAAGTTGACGAACTTAATTAGAAAGTCCCCAAGTCCAACTCCATCAAAAGAAAAGCCTCCGGAAGCTGATTGCAACAGCAATATAGACCTACATATTAGTGCAGTCAGTCGTCAAATCTTCTCAAAATTTATTGACATGACTAATTAGCCAAAAACTTTATGTGGTTTACAGTACATGCGCAAATTACTAGATAAATGTTTCCTCATTTTGATTCTATCAAAATTTCACCAAGATGTTGAGGTTGAAGAAGTAATACAATGGATTCAACTAGTTTAATCTTCTGTTCCAGAAGCCATTAAATTATGTTCAAACGTTTCGACGAGATTTATTAATCTACAGGCAGACTTTATTTAATTAATTACAACGATGGTTTGGCACATCGTTTTATTGTTTTAAATACAAGACCACATTAAGTTAGTGAATATGCAGCGCCTGCTACAGTTTTGATCGGTCACAAGTGTGAGCAGTTGACTTACTTTGAGAAAACTGTCTGTTGCCAACAACCTACTTAAATGTTGTTCAAGTATCGTTGCTCCGATGCACCAAAAAGCTGTAGCGAAGTGCTAAAATATCGGAATTGTAATGGACCACATAGGTACAATAATCCCTGCTGCTCAAAAATTCTTAAATTTCGAATTGCATCTACAAAAATAACTCATAATAAATGGAAAGAGTGTTAAAATTCATGTTCCTAACCATTTAACGCGGTGGACAGCAATGCATCGTCCAGTTGGAGCTACAAGTATCCAACCAGCATTCTACAATTGCATCGGTTAGCCTCACAGCAGAATAGCTTAACAGCGTTCAACAAGTGATCAACAACGGCAGCATAACACCACTAGTGCATGGTATAGCCGACGACATTAACAACAGAGATCACCATCATTACATTTACTTACTATTACTACTATAGGACTATTACTGTTGTCATCTATAGGACAAGAAAACTTCGTCGCTCTCTAAACTAGCGCCAGAGCTGGGCAAGTCAGGCGTTTTTCAAGTCTAGTCCAATGTGACCTTGACTTAATCATCTAACTTGGATTTGAGGTATTTTTGACTTGACCCCTAGTGAAACTTCTTGTAACCAAGATCTTGACTTCTTGAATTTTTTCAGTAAGATCTTGATTCAAGATCTTGGTAAGAAAATATAAGAATTCAAGAAATTTCAAGAAGTCAAGATCTTGAATATCTTATAATTTCTTGACTTCTTGTACCAAGATCTTGGAAATTCTTGAATCATCGTTTTGTTTTACATTCTAGTGTAATTATAAGTGCGAATATTTTCACACTTAGAATAAGTTCGATTTTTTTTGCTTCGTGACCATAGTTGTTTAAGGAAGAATCTATGATTCTATATCGTCGTATATCCAGTGGCTACGACTGTCATAAATGAAAACAAAATGTAAAGAAAATTTGTCATTCTTGCTCTTGCTACATCTTGAGTGGCTTCACTCAAGATCTTGAAATTTCTTAATACAAGATCTTGGCCAAGATCTTGAGTGACAGATTCAAGAATCCAAGATCTTGACTTCTTGGTGTTTTTTCCAAGATCTTGGGTACAAGAAGTTCCACTAGGGACTTGTCCAGCTCTGAGCATTATTACAACCATCGACAGACCTTAACAGCCATTTTGATCACATACTTTCTTAAATAAAACGGTTGGATGAATTTCGAACTAATTCTTCAGTTCGAAAAAAGTTTTCTTATACAAAATAAACAAATCAACAAAAAAAATATCGTATTATGGCACTATTCGAACCCAAATAAGTATACTTACATCGAAAGTACAAGAGCTGAAAAATTCTCTGCATATAGTTTTATCCGCACAATCTACTCAAAGTGCGATACGAGCTTACGAATATCAACAACGGTTGAATTGTCTCATTTACCTGACGCACAGTCAGAGGTAAGGATAAAAATATTAGAGGAATGGGATTCGAAAGAACCCATTGAGATATCATGCAAGAAAGGGACAAAAGAAATTAAACTGCAAGCTAATTTGGTACCAATGATTGTCTTAGGATTCAATGTAAGGAAGTCATGCATTGATGCACCAAAGTTGCTGAATTGTTAGATAATCAACATGGTGATCATCTGATAATCATCATGGATGATCACTGTGACAGTATTACGTGGAGCTGGAAAGTTAGATCTGCATAAGCTGAAACAATTTTTAAACTGTATGAACTTTTATATCTAGATGGAACTAATGGATTTGGTGAAGTGATAATTCTAGTCCATCGAAGTGTTCAGTGTAGTTCGGTAAGCTGCGAACGGAGTCATGCCCAGTTTGCTTGCTGTCGATTTGACTGAAGGATAGGAGAGAACTTGAGAGTAGCCCTCAAGGATCTGAGCTGCTGACGGTCCAATGGAGATATAAGGACCGACTTTGACAAGCCCTTTTTTATTTAGAGAGATGTTAATGCATGCATAATCCAAGAGATGAGATCGTGAGCGCACTTAGAGTAGAGGACGAAAAATTGAGGGCTGGGTCGAGAAGAAAGAGTTATCGATACAAAATAATCAGCCTCATTTCGATCGAATAATATGAATGACGTGTTAGTGGGGAATGTTCCAGAAATAGATATTGTTTTTAAGGAGAAATCAGTGGCGATCATAGTCACCCTCACCCACACCCTCATTTACTCTTCTCCATATTATGTATGTTCTCAGTTCGAATCTTCTTCATTGCATTGGTTTTTTGTTTCACACTCCTTTAATAATTCTGTCACTTAAAGACCAGAATCGCAAATGTTTTGGAAATTTCGTTCTAAATTCCAGTATCAATCGAAAAACAATAAACGTATTATAGGTAGATGCACCTACGGTCAAAGATTCTAAGGAAATAATACTTTAAATATTATTCTTACTACTCTAAACATTTTGTAGCACGACCAATAAAACCCAAAAGCGAGAGATACAACGAATTGCATTCCAGTTTAAAGAAGCCGAACAGCAAAGGAGAATCAACTTGTTGAAACTACGGCCTACGAGTTCGCAAAAGATCAGATAATTAAAAAACGGAATGGCTATTGACCACCGGTGGTGTCAACAAGGACCTATTGCCACCACCTACTCTTTGATTTTGCTTGGTGAGGACAATAGCCGAAGGTAACACCTCCGGTGATGGCTCAACCGAGCTTGATAGAACGTTTTTTTTGCCATAAGTATTGCCTGTCCACACGATGTTTCTATATAAATAAAGACTAAGACTGCTTCATCAGCGGGAAAACTAGAAAATACTAAAAAATGTCCCTAACTACCTTTGTCCCGTAGTCGGTTCTTTTGTTTCTTATGTAATTTTAACATAACACGCATAAAATAAAGCAAATTTCCGGCGTAGAGGTTTGAAACACGTTAATTGAATGAAGTACATAAATAAAATTTAGATCAACTAAATGCGGTTTCTTGGGAAATCGGATTTTGTACAAAACTTGGTTCTTTTTTTTACTATTATCAAAAAAAATCAGTGCTTGGTTATTTTTTGAATAAATCGAGAACAAATAGGGCTAGAGAGTTTGAGTCCTATCCTTCCTCAAGGGGAAACTTTCAAAACTCTCTTTCGAAAACAGGTTTTCATGGGACTTTCTGAGAATAATCAAGAAACAGAAACTAGTACATTTTGTTCACGAATGGCTGCCAATATATCTATGCCTACCAAGGCACAGTGAGCAATGTTTACTACTTTAGAAAACAGGTCATACGTCTAGAACTTCAGGTACTAATATTTCTGCTTTTTGCATGGTTAGATAGGCTTGAGTATCCAACCTAAAATAGAATCTTAAAACTTCACAATGTATATTATTTGGGTTGCTGTATATTCTGTCTATAAATCTAGCAATAAAATTTTGCAAAAACCTATGTTTTTCCCAGAGAGTTCTGAAAAACCATTTAACAAAAATTATAATATTTCGACAGCATCGCTAGAAAGAACGCAGTCTAAAACCTATAATTAAGTATTTTAAGTACAATGCCTTTTCTTCCTCTAGAAGTTGCTGGTAAAACGTTCTACGGTAGCAGATCCTAGAAAAGTGTTTTATGACTTAAGGAAAAGTAGTATTAGTTTATTAAAGCGCGTTTTCCCATATTCCTAGCTACCCACTATCGATTTATCATGATCAGAGCCTAGGCGTTCATCTTCTGTTTGGATCAATTCTTCTTAAAGAAACAGTACCGTTTACATGAGAAGCACTCGTCTATCGAACGAATGAATATCTATTGTTGGAGACATTTTACATTCTATACAAAACCATTTTGTTTTTAGAAAGTAAACAAAGTACTTACGTTCTGCTATTGAATGTATAACAATTTCCATCTTGATAAGAATGGGTAAAATTCCCCTCATTACATTCTACTAAATTAAAGGAACAACTTAAAAGACGATCATGAAGGTTGAATGACAGTTCACTAAGTTCTTCAAATCGACCTTGAGTTAAATAAACATATTGAAACCCTTCAACGGAATTTAGTGCTTGTTCGTTAGTTATATTCTCGCCATCAATTAAATTCAAGTATTTTCTAAATACTTGTTTAAATCGTTCATCGTAACGCAATGGTTCTGGCATGAAACAAATAGTAATAGCTGGGTATTTTAGATCATAATCGAGTATTAAGTTATGATTTTGAATGAACTGTCGATTAAAGTATTTTTTCACAGCTGATACACTAAATGATATATGTACTGTTAAACAACCAATAAATAAAAGTATAAAGAGAATTTTTAATCCTTTTGTCTGAGCTGTGGCAATGTATTTTGCAGCGTGTAAATTTGAATGAAGTAAAAATTGATTAAAACGCTCGGATGCTGATATCAGTTTTTTTTCTATTAATAATGATTTTTTTTGTTGTGAATTGTGCGTATTAATCGGTGTGATCGATTGTTGATCCATTGGTGAAAGTGCCATAACGGTCGTACCACGTATATTTACCACAACAACGTTTTTATCTTCTTATAGGATTGATTGAGTGAAAAAACAAAAAAATAGTTATAAATAGATGAAGATAAGATTCTTAATATTCAACCTAATATAAAAATATTTTGATTATGAATATCAAACGTGCTTTCTTTACTTTTTCTTATCATGCTCTATAAATATTTGGTTTTCTATGAACGATCAGTTATTATTTAATGAATCAGAATACAAGAAGCAGAGTTGGCAAGGATTTTCTACCATAAACAGTAACATATTAGAAGTGTAGCTTATTATTCAAATAGATGACGCACGTCAGCTTAGTACTGTCTTTCCTCGATCATTTTGTGTGTTAAAATCTTTCGAGTGGTCTTTTATGACCTTGATTTTAATGTACCAGTAAATATTTAATGATTGACGAAATGAGTATGGGCAGTTTGAGTTTTCTTGAAAACGAGATGTTCAAGTGCACTCTTGATGATACTGAACTATTTTTAGCGCTTCTGTTTCTATAGTATTCCAGCCTCATTCAACACTTCTCGAAACTTATGAACAACTAAAAAGTTGTTTTAACCTAAGGAAGTGAAATACCTCCTTTAATGACGTTATTATTGAATTAAAATTGGCTTAAGTTAAGGACATTAGAAAATTAGGTACGTTTGCCGCCTTGCACCAAATTAGATAAAAATTGGACGCTAGGTGCAAAACTTTTCGGTGAATCCGACAGCGGGTTTCTTTAAATTCTATTCTGACTTCTTTTCTGGCGTCGACATAATCTACATGGTTCTTGCTTAAATTTTATTTTTCTCGTTGACGCCTTTTTTTCAACCAATGAGAAAAATAAAATTTAGACAAAAACTACGTAGATTATGTCGACGCCAGAAAAGAAGTCAGAATAGAATTTAAAGAAACCCGCTGTCGGATTCACCGAAAACTTTTGCACCTAGCGCCCAATTTTTATCTAATTTGGTGCAAGGCGGCAAACGTACCTAATTTTCTAATGAGAAAGGATCATCGATTACAGAGCTGGGCAACTCCGACCCTCCTGGCGCCCGCTCCATCCCAGCTCCGGCTCCAAAAGATGTTCATCTTTTCTTGTTTTTCTTTCGATTCAATTTTCTAGGCTACAAGTAAGGAAAAAATATGAAAATGAAAATCGTTCTGAAGTACAAATATACTGTATAACTGCATACATAAAAAATCCTCTTTCGAAAGCGTTACATTTAATAGAAGAAGATCAAGATTGCGGCAGCATATATTAACGTGTCATCAGCGCACACACTAATAACTATCTGCCGTAAGAGTGTCATTTTTACCCCGATCGAACGCGCACATCATCATCCGGACACCCTCTCCTGCTCTGAACTCAACTATTCCCTTTCAGCTGCGGCCTCGTTTATAAACGGAGACGGCTTCGGAGCCGGAGCTGCCCAACTCTGATCGATCATCTTTTCTTTACTAAATGATGATAAATCATAGTGCTGTCGCTCGCTTCAATCTGCTCCAACCCCTGTATATCTGAATCGTTTAGAGAGGAGATAACAAATATCGTCGGCAAACGATGTATTGGCAATATACCATGTCTAAGAAATGATGTACTGTGCAAACAAAATGGTACTCTACCTCTAAACCTCCAAAGATCTATACCGTTAAAATGAATTTAGAAACTTCAAAAGTTCGATATAAAAAAGTTTCGACTATTATATTAAGACCAGGACTACTTAATTTTATCTAGTAGTCTGAAAACCATAAATAAATTAATGAACAATAATGTTCTTTCGTCCACTCAGACATAATTGAAATCGTATTGTAAGTAAACGGTAGCGCAAAACTTTTCTATGTTGAAATGTCAGCATGTCTGACTTTCGAAAACAGGGTAAGGTCTACTTGGGTAAGGTCATCAGATATTAATTGTAATTAAAAATTTTTATGCCGATAATTCTGATCTCATTCTCTTAATTACGGTAACAGTTCTTTTCTGTTATGTTTCTGTCAAACAAAACGCGTTTTATATTTTTTTCATAGTAAACGGAGATACTTACGGATATTATATGCACAAATTTTATTACGTAGACATACACACATAAAAGAGGAGAAAATACAAATTCAAAGTTTGAAAATATAAAAAAGCGGAAAAAATGTAAAAAAGAAAGAAAGGAAGAAAGAAAGAAAAGCAGTTGATTTTTCTTATTCTCTCGAGATGCCATCTCTCTTTCAGCTTAAAAGAGACCTGTTCTAACCCTGTGAACACCGGTCGATAGAAGGGAGATAGATTCGATAGCCATGTTCATTATTACGAAAATTAACAAACAAATAATCTTTTTCATTTGACGGATAAAATAGCTTGTGTGTCCGGAAAAAGGGAATTAAGCGATCTCTTCATCTTCAGTCGCTTAGGCAGACCCTAGTCATCGATTCCTATATAAGAACCAGATACGAAACTTGTGAGAAGCATGTAAGAATCTTACACAATTCTTATATAAGATCTTCCACGAAAGTGACAAGAATTCTGCTGAATCTTTTAAGAATCTCACAAGAATTCATAAGAAATTGATAAGAGTCAGTAAAACTCGTGCGCTCGCTATTCTTATAAGATTCTTGTAAGATTCCTATGAGAAACATGATCGACTCTCGTACAGAAAAATCCCAGTATAGTATTGGAAAAAGGCCAGCACTACTAGTGCCGACGGCATGCTATGTTGCACCAGTACGTACTAGTTCCACATTTTTCCAGTCACCGTTTGTTACCTACGATTGCACTATGTTTTACTCGGACTGATCATCAGTGTCGGTGCGTCAGTATGTCAGTGTTCATCAGTGTCAGTATTTCAGTGTTTCAGTGATCGTCAGTGTCGATGTCATCAGTGTCAGTATCTCAGTGTTTGCACCGACACTGAGCCATCCCTAATCACAAGCATTTAACAGGTCCTGAAAAATACATATTTTAACAGTGTTCAGTCCAAAATCAAGTGAGGCTAATAGAATAGCCTCACTTGGATCTTATGTGCACTACATTATGTGGTGCACATAAGATCGGACTTAACGACAGTTAGGTGTTCGGGAAGAGAATTCAAAGTAACCGATCGACAATAGTTTCTAAAACAGCTTTTAGACACTTATGCACTTATGACGTTATATCTGTATGACTATAAGCAACCAGCTAGAGACTGAAGGGGTCATTATACTCTAACTCATTACTTAATCCCGTCCTCACTCATGCCATTATCTGTCCTCGTCTACTATTATCTGCAGTAATACCTCCTTAGGTGATTCAACAGTCGTAAAGGGCCGTAAAACCGATTTACCACGCTGTAATCGTGCTCCGTAATGCTCCCGCTATAAATGAGCGTATACCGGTCCATTATGGCTGTAAACGGCCTCGATAAACGTTGTTTACGGCTGCTGTGTTACGGAGCATACGATTACGACCATTTGCGGCGTGATACGTTATAGTACACGATCGTGACTCGTCGTATATGGCCACCGCAGACATAGCCTGGGTTTTCTGACCAGTACTCAATGCATCCAATGTTCAACGTCATCGTTTAGTTCAAGGTGATTTTTCGGTTAAAGCATTTCAATTTAGAGATTCAATCTGAATATTGAAATGTTAGGTAGTCAATAAATATCACTACCCAAACATTGTATGCTGAAGAAACAATAACGAGTTTATAGCGAAATAACAGAAACGAAAAGGTAAAAAGTTTGCTTAAACCAAAAATTCCTGAAAAAATTTCAATTCGATGTTTAGTGGAAAACATTCGTCTGGCACAGGTCACATAATACTAAAAGTCGGTTCAGCTTTGACACCGGCAGTATCTGTGCGTCAGTGTTTCAGTATTTAACTGATTGTCAGTGTAGGTGCGTCAGTGTGTCAAGTGTTTGCCAGTGTCAGTATTTCAGTATATCAGTGATCATCAGTGTCGATGTCGTCGGTTATCAGTGCACTGACACTGAACCATCCCTACTTGCGATGGTTTTTGTCTGTGAAGGGACAGAAAATACGCACTTTCGGATAAAAGCTCGTGATGGTAGTCTCGCGATTGAATTTAGATAAGAATAGCAGTATAACACTGTTATATATATTTGGTCGCCATAACAGCGTCCAAAGAGACTCTATGGATCGTCTTTCAAGAAAGCGTCTCAAAATGGTTCTTTTTTACAGAATAAAGAAGAAAAATAAAAGCCGCGTTAAAATATATCATTACTGAAAATCTCAGCTCGTCGCGCGATACCTCAAAACTAGTAATCGCCTCCATCTGTTAGTTCAGAAAGCCACATGTTGTGTTAGTCAGTCCACTGACTAATTATCTGAGATGGGTATGACTTTAAAAAAAAATGCTGACAGTATATTGGAAAAAGTTGAATTTTTTGAAGCAAAAGTATTAAAAATGTCCTGCTTTCACCCCAAACAGGTAAGAAATTGTGCTCTAGCCAAATATCATATTTTTGCAGACGCCTTGTGGACAAATAAGGAGGGAGATTACTTACGTTACTTTCTCTTCAAATAGCAGGCAGATTTCCCAGCACTATTTCTTTAATTTCAGCACGATCTCAAACATTTTCAAACTACTTCTAGGTTCGTTTCGAAGAGGAGATTTCGTCTTCCATCGTAAATTTGTAGCATAATTTAAAATTTTCAGCGCAATTTAATCGGTTCTCAACGATGAAAAAGAAAGTGAGACTCAAAAAACATGAAAACTTCGCTCAGCTCTTTCAAAAGCTCTTAAAACAAAAGGGTATCTGTAATAGGAATCTACGAGGATTAGATTCCAGGAAAGTTAAATACTATAAATTTTGCCGAAAGTTTGCAAATGCATCTATTTGGTTAATTCATGGCTAGAAAGTCATTTGGTGATGAAAATAGGCGTAAAAAATCAGTGTAAAAAAATTCAGGTTGAAAACAATAGCAAAAAAAAATCAGTATCCTAAAAGTTCAAACAAGCTTTTGAAAAGCAGAAAAAGCAATTTGGTATCCTGTAATACCATTTTCAGTATTTAAAATACCGTTCTGTGTATTTTAAAAAAGTTATCCATATCTTACAGAACCAAAAGGGTATTTTAAGAATGAAAATACCCTTTTGGCATCCTGCAAAATCAATTTTGGTATTTCATCAAAAAGGTATTTTATTTTGATAACAAAAACCATTTTGGTACTTTGGGATACCAATTACTCGTAACCTGCTAAATCCTTTTTGGTATCTTAATAGAAATGAAATACTCTCTAAGGGTATTTTCAAAGGTGAAATACCCTTTTCAAATGAAACACCCTTTGGTTTCTTACAGTACCGTTTAGCAGCAGTTGGGATACCAATATTGTTTGTTTGTATCTCATACAAAACCAAAATCCGTTTCGTGGACGGGACGAAATACCCTTTTAGTTTTTTAAAATACGGTTTTTTTTAGAGAGTAGTATGCGTCGATTATGGCTGAGTTATGAATTTTCTGATTTAACAGATTTTCACTAAGTTTTGAAATTTTTTTCAAAAAGCACTCGCAGTCACCAGACTCAGCGTGATCGATTACCTATGTTTCCATTTATTTTGGTGATTGTCACACCTACGGAAATATTAATCCTGGGGCTTCGAGGATATCCGATGTCACGTCTAAACCGCAAAACATTAAGCGGTCGCTTGGTTCCCGTTTGTAGACGAAACTTTAGACTGTCTATCCATGTAAAAAGCAAATAAACTACTATGTTAAATGTTTGCGTTATGAAATGGTTTTCCAAAGACTCCTTATAAGATCGATTTTTGAAATTTTTTCCTAAAAGTTTCTGCTTAGGACAATGTACAAAAGATAATTTCTCATTTAGTAAAATATTCTTCGGCCAGAATGTATTATTCTTAATGTTTGTTATTAGTTCACCATCTTCTTTGTAAACAAAAATCTTACTTTGATCATTAATAAGCCATTCATTGTTTAATAACACGGAACAATATCCTTGAAAATCTTTGGGAATATCAGATGACCATAAATAATTCATTGATAAATCATTAATATTTATTTTAGAAGAGTTAATCATACACTTTATATTTCGAAATATTCGGCAATAGTATTATCATTTCAGAAAGCCCTCTCCTCTAGTCCTTCAAAATGTCCTCAAGGTCTAATTCCGATGGTAGAAATATGATTGTTTTTACTTTCATCCTAAGCGTCAAAAAAAATCTAGTATCGCCTGATTCATCCCGATTACTAGATTTTTACTCGATTGCAACTACTGTGTAACGACAGTGGAAATCTAGTAATCGGGCGATTACTAGATTTTTTCTGGTTACAACTATTGATTTATCGCCCGATATCGATCGATTTAACTATTGCTAGATGCACATGCAGACGCATCTAGTTAAAAGTCCCTTTTCCAACTAGTAATCTAGATGACAACTAGTTGTGGATTGCCCGATTATAGACGAAATGTATCCAGATTTTTTCCATAGGTGATGTTTGCTTGGGATCATGCTTTACCTGGTTTTCTCTTCAGAAGCATGATGAAAGCTGGTTTTCTTCTTTGTGGTGATGATGACGACGATGTTATCTTAAAGTGTATTTCTTTTTTTACTTTTGATACGAGAAGATCTCTCGAGAACATGAAGTGTTTCTTAAGATAATTGACATATAGATTTTACCATGTTTTTCCCAGATTTCTCTTCGAGTACACCAACGCGAATCATTCATCTCAGGCTTGCTTCGAGATTGAGCCTAGCATAAGTACGGAGCAATTTTATTTGTAAACACACTCTCTGATTGTCATAGAAACTATGCTAATGATTTTCTGAACTTTTAGAAACATTTTGATTGTTATTTCTAAAACAGCTTCAATCTCAGACTTCTCTAAGTTCTCCCATGTACTTCTCAATTAGGGTTTGACATATAACTGGCGTTTGATCTCAACATAAAAGTGAGAGCGGCTGATGTTTTATGGCGTGCGAATATTACCAGTAAAGTAACGCTTGCCGTATGTGAAGAAAACATTCACGCTTGGACTTTCAGACTATGTATACCTGTAGATATTATCGTTAGGATCAGTTCGTTATTAGAGCCAATCTAATATTCTGTGAATGAGGCGAAATGGCTGAGCCCCAATCCTCTGTGCATCAAACAGAACCGAACTGATCTACATCCTGAGAGTTACTAACAAGAAAACGATTTTACACAGAGAATACTCACAATTGTTGTAAAAACACATGAACCTTTGATGCATTTCTCACTTCTGTGCATTTCTATTTCGAGACCGTTACACAGTAAACATCGATTGAGAAAAAACACGTAAGTCCTTAAATATAGTACATTTTCTGAGAGAGAAGACTCGTTTCTGGTATACCAGAACCGTCTGAAGAAAAATTTCAACTGTGCAACAGTAAAATAAAAAGGATTTATATGCCTTTTTCAAAATCTTATAGAAGACTTTTAAAATTGAAGAAAAATAAGGACATTAGATGCGGAACATTTCAACATACATTTCCAAGTGCAAGCATCATTAGAGTAAACTGGGGCAATTGGAAACAATTTTTTGCTCTTCGGACTTGTAATTCGTATAAATTTGCTAAATGTTAGTGGGGTAAATGGAAACGACCATGTAAAACAGCTAGAAAGCTAGGAGTTTCTTGAAAGAACAGAAAGAGGACGTTGAGAAACCGTTAAGCGCCGAGTTTCATAAAGTTTGATTCAGTGATTATCGAGATAGCTTGGACCAACTTTCTCGTGCAACATGCTTATTTCGTTATTTCTGAATGAAAACGAGTGAGAGTTTCTCTACGGTTGCAGAAAAGAATAATTTGCATCTTTATAAGCGTAATTTGTTTTGTGAGAGGTGTTCTTCAAGTAGAAACTGATTTCCAAGAAACTCCTAGCTGTTGTACATGGTCGTTTCCATTTACCCCACTAACTTTCACGTACGTTACCAATTGCCCCAAGTAGGATAATTGGAAACATTTGAAAATTTCTCAGGCTTTACCTTTTTAATTAGAGCTCAGATTAATTAATGAGTAGAACTTGAAGATTCTCACCATTTCTAGAGCAATAATTAATCTATTTACTCGTGCAAAAATTATTAATTAGTATCATTGGCTTAACGAGAAAAATGTTTTTTACTAATGAATTATTTTCCGTGTAAAATACATGGCGTATCCAATTACCCCATCAATTTCTATTGTTGTATCCAATTGCCCCAAGTAGGTAATTAGAAATATTCGTTGGAGCTTTCAGCAAAATATCTGGAAGTTCGCCTGGGACACGGAATTTTTGACAATTTTTAGATAGGCTTATAGAGAACTTCCTCCTCTACCTAACTGTAAAAGGGGCGCAAAAAGATAATTAAAATTAGCAAATTTATACGAATTACAAGTCCGAAGAGCAAAAAATTGTTTCCAATTGCCCCAGTTTACTCTACCTATTATAAATTTAGATATGGCTTAGTCAGAACTGTTTCTTGTTCTTTATTGTTTCATAGGAGAAGATTTAGTAACTTTACTCGTTTCTACATTCTCCTAAACGCTTTATAAGGACTTAGGAAAATGAAACTATTCAGAACGAATAAGGGTTTTGAAGAGTTGCTAAACCCTCTCCTAAACGCTTTTTTATGTAAACTCCTAAACCTTTATTCGTTCTGTATGGTTTCATTTTCCTAAACCCTTTAAAGTTTTTTAAACTACGCTTTTGTTTAGACTGCACTGCGCGAATCTTCGATATCACCAAAAATTTAGGCTGCAACGATAAAAATTTTGAATATTTTTTCATTTTGACAATAACCACTTCAAATTGAAAGATTAAACTTTATTTATTTGTTTATGATGTAGAATTTTCTCCGCCAACTAGACGATCTTAGATTATTTTTGCATGGTAAAAACTGATCAAACTGTTAATTTTACCAAAAGCCTGCTTTGTGAAAAATTGTGTTGTTGGTAAAAAATGATGTTCAACAAAATGCGAATAATTTCCGACCCTTATGGCATGTATCCTGTTTTAACATCTTATTGTGTAGAGAATTGTCTGTTCTACAATCTTATGCCGTGATAACGTTTTAGTAATGTACTACAAAAAACTTATATACGGAATTCAAGTACTCAGCGGGGTGCGTGATGGAGTGGAAGGAGTCAGACACTTTCCTGCTCTGGAAAAAGTATTTTCTGTTGGGGAACATTTTTTATTGCGTTCTGTTGCAGAAAGCAAGGCCAAAAATAGTTTATACACAAGAGACCTTCCTTGCTTTTAGATTTTGCCAAGCACGCGACTTGCATTTGTCGAAAAATACCAGATTTTCTTTTTTCACAAACTTAGTTTGTAGCATAGCAAAGATTTGCTCATTCTGAGAAGACCTAAAGCGACAGAAAATTTTTGAACGCACAGTTCGAAAGCTCTTTAAATGTAGATTCTCAACAGATTCTTTTCATTTTCCGAAATGTATTCTCTCACAAAAAACATGACGAAACATTTTGTCCAATTACTTTTGCGTCTCAGGTTAGATATCTGATTCACGTATACTGTACCGAACAAGAGTTCATGAGTTTGTAAATGCGAACTTGCGAGTAGAGGCGCTAAAGCTTTTACGATTCCGGGAAAGGTTAATAATCGAAGAATTTTGCAATGATTTTTTATAGAAACCCATTTCTGGTATTACAAATGTGTGTGTACGTATGTGTTTAAAAATATATCTGTAAAACTGAAGCAATAAATTCAGATTTCGTGTGCAGGATAAATGCTTATAATCAACTGTATTTGAACAAATTATTGAGCTTTTCTCTTTTGCTTAGCCAATTTTGGTTTGAATTTCCGATAACAAATGCGACAACAACAATATGGTAATAGCACTAATAGCGTAATGATTGTAGTAGTAACGAGGAGGACAAGACTATATATGATGAACGATTGTTTGTAATTTGGTTGATTAAATATCAAATGTTGGTATCCAAATTCTAAAAATTCTTCGATGATAGTCGCTGCTCGAGTAGTACCACCAGCAGAACGAAGCAATCTGCCAATACGATGAGAAGCTGCAAAGAAATGATTCATTTTTTTAAAATCAATTGGATTTGGATACGTCATGTTATCATCAATGTTAACAGTGATGTTTTGTAATAATAGTGAGATTTGTTGTTGTAATAATATTGGTTTCAAATTCCATCCGAAATGCATAATTCCACATCCAGATTTCTCAACCCGTAATGCGTTATGAGCCTGATCCAGCTGTGGTGTTAATGCTATAATTAACATTGGTTTGTTGAATATTAATGACTCAGCAATACTATTAAATCCTCCATGGGAAATAAATAAAATTACATTCTCATGTTTTAATATTTCTATCTGTGGTAAATAAGGTGAATAGCGTACATTTGATAGTTGATTAATGTTTGCTTTTTCTAAGAAATATTGAAGTGGTTCACTTAATGACCATAAATATCTCAATGTTTTGTTTTGTTGTGTTAGTGCTAAATGTATAATTTGAATAGATTCCAAAGTAGGAGATGCATAACGTCCAAAACCAAGGTAGATAACATTTGGTGCTTCGTCTAACCATAACTGAAGGTCATTTGGTAATACCTTTTTGTCGTAATCTGGTCTGAAATAAGGACCAATCAGAAAATGAGATGGTAAAAGTGGATGTGCAAAATCTAAACCAATTGGTGATGAAATAAATAACGGATATTTTTGGGTGATATCAGTAGCGTGATCTAACTCGCGAACACCAAAATGGCGACGTTTAATGTTGTGTGATTTTAACGTGAAAAAATCAGCTATAATGACTCTAAAGAGACGCGTAAAAACGTTTTTGACCATTTCGAGGTATGTCATTGTCATAAAATTATGTGTTAACATCGAATTAGCTGCTGGATACCACAGTGGTGATATAAAATCATTGACTGACGGCATCGATTGACCACTCCATGTTGCTACTGCTGGAATGTTGAACTTCTCAGCTATAATGAAGCCAGCTCGTGTAAATACATCAGATATAACGAATTTTGGTGGCTTTTTAACTAAAATTGGATATGTTTCTAAAATTGCCCATGAATAAGCTGATGTTATTCTATCTAATATTTGTGCCAACTCATTCAATGAGACACTTGAAAAGGCTAATTGCACCTCGACCGACACATCAGAATCTATGGAATTGGGAATTATTAGACGGCCACCACTCCAAAATTCTTTGAATTTGGCAAATTCTTTTTCTTCAATAAGTAATACCACATTGTAACCACGATTTATGAGTTCCTATCATATCAATGAAACTCAGTTATACTAATCCACTGGATTAGCAACTAGGACAAGCATACACAAGTTTCTAATCGTGCAAAATTTCATTTACCTGGCATATAGCAACTACAGAATTAGCGTGTGATGTAGGTATTGATGTACATAAGATATAATCTTGTTGTCCCAATGGTAAATGCTCGAAGTTGGGTGAAAAGGTGATTTTAAGGTCAGATCCATAGCGAGATACATTTAGATTACTATGAATAATTTCAGGAAGTCTGGAAAGAATACTAAGACCTTCTCGTGTGCATTTAATCGCCGGAAAATATACACAGAAAATGGTCAAACAGATGATAAGCAAGA